TCAGTACTGAAATAAGTTACCGAATTTCCTTCAAGAATATTTAAAATTTCTTCATTTATTTTGTCAACGTCCGTGTTTTTTGGACACAAAATTGCCATTTTTGAAAAGTTGGCAACATTGGCAACAGTAAGACGTTCTCCGTATATTTCAGAAATTATTGACTCCCGACAAATAAGTTGTTCTGGGATTTCAATTGTATCCTTAGGGAGGCCAAGAGGAGTTTCTAATGTGCCATCTCCCAATTTTAGTAGCCAATCACTATAGCTTTTGTCTACAGACCTAACATTACTAAGTAAGTGTAGAATTTTGACTCTTCGCCATAAGCTGTTAAATTTCAAACTCGCTTCTACAATGGCAGATCTACTTGCATGGGGAACTACAGGTAAAGTTTGTCTAAAGTCACCTCCTAATAAGAGAACTTTACCACCAAGTGGCTTTTGATTATTCATGACTTCTTTGAGAAATCTGTCTACTGCTACTAATGCAAAACTTGGGGCCATTGTAGCTTCATCCCAGATAAGCAATTTTGCTTGTCGAAATAACTCAGCATCTGCTGATTTAGATCGAATTGGCGATGTTGTTGTGTCATCTATAGGTATGCGGAATTTAAACTGCGAATGGTAAGTTCGTCCACCATCAAGCAAATTGGCTGCAATTCCGGTTGATGCCATAGGTAATGCAATATTTCCTTCGCCACGCACTGTCGAAAGTATGGTCTTGTAGACATGTGTTTTCCCGCTTCCACCAACTCCATCCATAAAGAATATTCTGTGCGGAAGGTTGTCATTTTCGGCAGCATTTAATACTGTATCGAAAGCATTTCGTTGTTCACAGTTAAGAGTATCTTGCAATGCGTCACCTTTTTGTTTCTCTGCAAGTACATCAAAATATTCTTCTGAAGCCGCACGCATGTTAGCTGGTGGAGAGGGCAAGCCAAAGTCTTCGCATTTCTTGTAGTTCAAGATTAGAATTGCTTGAATTTCTACTAAAGCAAGATTTGTGCAATGTGGACAATTCTGTGTGTGATTATGCCTTTGATTTCGTGCAAAATCTTCATATAAATCGGATTTGTATTTTTCAAACAGTTCCAAAGCGTTAGGAGGAACTGCAAACACGCATATATATGCAAATAAGTCTCTCATTTGCCGAGGCATTTTCCAAATTGCAGCATCAGTTAATGCCAAGTCCCAAGTAGCATCATCACTAAATATGCCATATTTTTGGGCAGCTTCTTTAAATGTTGGATAGATTATGTTATCCACGGTTCTAAGGTCTTCAAAGGAAGTAGCCCCTCGCTTATGGAGCAACAATAGTCTTAAGCAATATTTTTCTGCGTCGGTAGATAAATTAACAGGGTACATTCTACCGATTGTATTATTTGTGTTTTTCTTACGTGGTGTCCAGACTCCACTTACTTTGTTAAAAACATAATGCTCGGGTATATCGGCATATAAATGAGGCCTTGCATCTTCATCTGTATCGTTTAATTTGAACCAAGACGTAAGCATTGTTTCTTTTGTTGCGGCTCTTTCAGCGGCAGCTTCCACATTATTTGCTTTGAAATACACATTTTGTTCATTCGGAAGATGTACGGGCAGTCTATAAATTGTATGTGACTGCTCATGCATAGAATTCCCAAAAAGTCGCCAAGCAGCTTCTGGAGCACTTACGTACCTTGAGTCCATAAAAGTTTTAATTTCATCATGATTAACGACGTCTTGTTCAGAGATAGCAATATTTGCACAGTCATGTCCTTTATACACGTATTTGAAAAGGTACTTGACACTTTTTACAGATGCACAGCTTTCTACATTAATGTGACAATTATATTTCAAGCTCATGTATGGATTATAGGGGACAATCCAGGAATTGTCAATCTGTCTGCCATTTACATCAGTTTGGCCAGAATTTCGTCTACGATATTTTGGATAACCATCGCAGTTTACCAAAGTTTCATTTTGAAAAGGCTTTGGAAATTCTTTTGTACATTTCCCGTCAGGTCCCGTACATGGTGAGTTTATATTTGCAGCACCACAGGGGCCATGTACCATATGCTTTGTTACAATTGCATGTAATCGAGGATAGTCATTAATATCTGGGATTTCAGCGGATATAAGCTGATTAAGTTTTTCGGCATCCACAGGGCCGTCATTTTTAACCATTAAAAGAATGTGGGCATGCGGAAGACCCCTCTTTTGAAATTCAATTACATGAACCTTTGCTGTTAAAATTCCAAGTATATGTTTCTTGGAAATATCGTCCAATAATTCTCTTAGCTTTAGGTTAAACACTCGTGCTATTAAATCGGGCCTAAATTCAGCTTTTTGGCCATATTGAAGGTTATCTGTTATTTCGGGCCATTTTGGATTGCATGTCATAGTTACAAAAAAGTCGGGCTTTCCAAATTTCCTGACAATTGCCATAGCATCTTGGTAATTTTGTGCCATATTTCTTGGGCTTCCGATGAAAGAAGAAGGTAATATTACCGCTCTTCCAGGTATTAGCCCTTGTTCGTTGGCCGCAGTTTGTATATAATCCATTAGGCCAGCATATTGTTCAGCCCGTAAAGTACCCTGGTTTTGTCGGCAGAAATTTAATCTATTTGCTTCAGTTTTTACGTAGGCATCTACAAAGTATTGCTGAGTCAGCTTTCCTGCACACAGAAATGGATTAAGCTCGTCACGAATTGATAGACGGTACCCATAATACTGCATTTGAGTAATCCTTGTTCTTGGATTAGCAGTAGCTCTACTCAAATTTGCCAATGATGGAGGCCGATTTAGTTTAAGGTCAATTCCCCAACTTTGATCTCCATGTGGAAATAACAGCGGATATACCATTGGTTCCAAATTGGGATCCAAAATACTAATTCTTTCCGTCCTCTTAGGATTTGAATCGTTTTCATTTGGTCTACAATGGATGAGAATGTCTCTTTCAAGTGGAGGTTCACCATCAGCATTTTGGAAAATTATTGCAACTTCATTTACTCGTGGTGCATTATAGCGTCTTTGGTCAGAATTGCGATCTTGAACAATTGCCATAGATACTGTTGCTGGTTCTACTCCATGAAGAATAGCTTCTGCTAAGCATTCTTTTTCAACCTCATGAAGCATTTTAAACGCTTTAGCGAAAGGATTATTTTGAGCCATGAATGAACTCAACTCGCGCATAATTTCTACATTGCAATGTGCATTCTCCCGGATCATCATTCTCTGATCACATGCCTCACCGGGGTCAAGAATATAAAGTTGGGCAAATTTTCTTTGGCCCCCGTTTGTTGGATGAAGAGATCCAGTTCTGTGGTAGATTTGACCATTAATTCGAAAACAATAAGGTCCATATCCAGGCGGTGGGGAGATATTTGCCCCCATTGATGCAAAAGCCAAGGCGCTGTTAATTGAGCGAATGTTCTCAAAAAAATTATTATAGTATTCATGCTCTTTTTTCATTAATTTTTCTATGGGCGGAGCTAATTTAATGGGAGGAAGAACAACCTTCCCCTTCTGACAGCATTGTGTAAATTTTTTGTCTTGTGGTCGTTCCTTTAAAAAATGTTTTGCCCCACAAAAAGAGCATAAAATATTAAATTCGCCGCAGTTATGCAGCTGTATGTCGGTCTCATTGAATCTATTTATCGATGCCGCATGGGTGGTCTGATTTAAAGTTATAAGCCTTGTCGCGGCTCTTGAGGTTGTCGCTGCTGCTACATTTGCACGTCTTTGGCCAGGGAGTTGAGAGGTTGGCATATTTGCAATTCTTTTTCTTTTGTTCTTTGCGTTCCGTTGCAGTTCAAGGGAACGTTGATCTTCCGAGAGACTGGCAACTCGGTTTCGTTCATTTTCTGCATTTCTTGTTCGTTCCAGGGAACGCTGTTCTTCAGAAAGATTTGCCACTCGATTTCGTTCATTTGCTGTATTCCTTGCTCGTTCAATAGACAGCTGTTCTTCAGAGAGATTTGCAACTCGATTTCGTTCATTTGCTGTATTCCTTGCTCGTTCAACAGACAGCTGTTCTTCAGAGAGATTTGCAACTCGATTTCGTTCATTTGCTGTATTCCTTGCTCGTTCAATAGACCGCTGTTCCTCAGAGAGATTTGCAACTCGATTTCGTTCGTTTGCTGCGTTCCTTGCTCGTTCAATTGAAAGCTGTTCGGCAGAAAGGTTGGCACGACGCTGGCGCTTGTTTGCAACATACCGTCTTTTTGCCTCAGCACTTTCCTCTCCGGGTTTTTGTCTTTTTGGTGACATTATTTCGCTAGGTATAATTTGTAGCGGTTCTCTGCAATTTATTAATGCACGCTGCAATTATTTGCGTTACCTTATTACTTATTTCGGCACCCTGTTACTTATTACGATAGGCTAAAATTTATGGCGGCACCCTATCACGCGCTTTGGCCTTTAATACGGCACTTTGGCTTTTAATACGGCACTTTGACCCTTAATACGGCACTTTGGCCTTTAATACGGCACTTTGGCCTTTAATACGGCACTTTGGCCTTTCATACGGCACTTTGGCCTTTAATACGGCACTTTGGCCTTTATCCGCGTATTACCCCGAAGGATAATGTGTTTCTATATTGTGGTATTGTATATAGAATATGTAAATATGTGTATTTATGTATACATGCATGTAATATGTAATTGTATTTATGTGTGTAATATGTGTGTGTAATATGTGTGTAATATGTGTGTAATATGAATGTACAATGTGTACGTATAATATTTAGTTGGGTGGTTTAAGTGGGAGGAGGAGGTGGGCGTGAAACTTGGAGGATTTTGGGGAGAAATGTGTGTTGTCGGTCTGTTCATCAGATCCGACTGATCGATAGAAATATTGCGGCGTAAAGCAAAGTCTGTCGAAGGGCAGGTTCTAGCCTCTCACGGGTACGGGTGTGCTCAAAAGTAATGGTCAGTACAATTTAATTTTCCGCCGCTGCGGTGCATAACAATTAAATTTTCAGCCAAATAATGGTTTATTGAGTTGATCATATTTCCCGCAATTAACAATTTACAGATATGAATCACACCCAAGTTTAAGACATTTGTGAAAGATTAATCCTGCTTGTCCTCATTGTCCTCATTGTTCGGTTTATCGCCATCAACCTCTGAACTTTCCTCTGTCGCAGTTTTCTCGACAAAATCCCCATGAGTATCTAAAACGAAAATCAACGTTATTCCATCTCACAACATGAAAAATTAAGAATCTTATATTTTACAAAGTGACGGGCATGTAACTCACCAACAATTCCGCTTTGCTTGAAATTATCCGCCCCTTTTGAATTCCTCTCGGCATTTTTCTTGCTTAAAATTAAGCTTAATTCCAGATAGTCAGCCTCCAACCGGGCAATCTTCGAATCTTTTTCTTCGTTTTCTTTCTTCTGGGCATGCAATCTTTTCGCCAGTGCTTGCTTTACGATTAAGTCCTGATTTTCTTTGGCCGCCTGATTCACACATCGGCACGATTGGCAATAAATATGATCCCCTGCATGTGAGTTTAAATCAAAATATTTTGTAATGCTAATTTACTAAAAAGTCAATCAAAATAGCAATCAAATTAGCCTTACGAAAGATGAAAGACTTGCAGTTCCTGCAACGCCCCCATCCGTTCATATCGAACTCGCTTTCATCAGGTCCAAATCGCATGGGAATTTTGGCACCGCAGATAGTTATTGGACATTTGGCTGAAAATAAAAAAAATCATCACTTAAATATTATTTCGATAAATAATTTACACAATTTAAAAAAATGTCTTACCTAGCATTGTAGTTGCAAGTCCCTTAATGACATACCCACACGACGTACAGAATCGATCTGTTCCAGTCACCTTTATTTGACCATCGAACCGCGTTGTCCATCCTCCTCCCCCGCGCGCACCACCCCTTTTGTCTTGTCCTCCTCTTCCGTACATTGCCAAATAAGAACAATAAGTTTATATTTCTACCTTGAACCACTAAAAATGCGAAGGAACGATTGTTGTGTGTCGTTCTGATGGTAATCTAAAAAAACACTCTTGCCTCGCAACCAATATTTGATTGAGCATGCGGAAGAGGGAGCAGGCAGTAGGAAAGGAATATGGAATGGAGTAGACTGCGGATATGTTTTTATCCTACCCTACTCGTGTTGAGCTACATGAGTAGGGATCCATAAAAACATATGTAACCGGACTCTGATTATTAGCCACAGCCAGCCAGCCAGCCAGCGACTTAACACTAACGCTTTATTATTATGGATCCTCCCTTAATATTCATTGGTGCTCCCTGCCCATCTGGAGTCCTTGCTTCCCACCCGGCCTGCCTGCCTGCCTCTTCGTCTGCACAAGTTTTAGAATGTTCAAGTACGAACAAATTTTGCTCGGATTTTGATGCAAATTCTACCTCAGAACAAGAAAATCAGAATAAGGGTAACCACACTATTATACCCAGCGACGAGAAATGTTGATCCCAAATCCCTAACTTCCAACTAATCTAAAGCAAAAGGAAAGGGAAGTATGTCAGCAGAGTTCGCCAACATTTGCATCATATTAAACTGCACTGGTTCTCACTTAGGATTAATATAATATAATATACACGGATGTTCAGTCGTGGCGAATCCAAAGTCCACTGTGTTTAACACTCAGTGACAATTTACTTGTTCGTTAGAAGGTTTCTGTGTAACGGTCTTGGTTAACATCGTTATTTACTACAAGGAGGGAATGTAGAGTAGGCTAGCACATCCTATAAATGAGATGAGTACTTTCACCCGAACAGGGAGAATCATAGGACAAAAGCGAGGGGTCAAACTCATAATAATCGGTTTCTTGTTTTAAGTGTTTGAATTTTGGGAGGCTTGAAATTACTTTGCCAACTTTTTTAATTTGTATAAATATTTCCCCAAAGTTATATATAGCACTTTCAAAAAGAATAGCAATAAACCAACAGAAATTGTGGTCGCTGCTCAGCGATATTTTACAAATATATAACCTCTCCCCAATAAATGTAGGTTGCATTAGCCAATAGTTCTACTTATTACAAAGGTTAGAGATTCAGCGACAATTGTAGACAGTCCCACTTTCCACCACGAAATTATTCAAAAGGTCCATGTGCAGAACGCACTCCACATTTGAATTGAATAGATTGGTGTGATGTGAATGACAAACAGAATGAACTGGCAGATTGCTCGGGACGAATTTAAGAAATAAAGGGTTCGATACAAAATGAATACATACAATTCCGCCAAGAAAAAAAAACATTGCACTGACTGATTTGAACCGGAATGATTCCAGTTTCTTGCTAATTTTAAATTTCAATTTGTCCTTCGCAGAATAATAACATAATTTAAAAAGTAAGTCACTAGGTCTTGTAGAGAAGGTGCACTGAATCTTAGGATTAGCAAAATTGAAAGTAAACTCGCAGTAACGGAAGAGACTTATGGTAGAATATTTCTGAATATATTTAATATTGTGCAAATGAGGAATAACTTGCACACATTTAGAAAAAGTGACGCTAAAGTTCGGTAAAGTCCAACAGTCTTGGAGTGTAATCTCAAAATGTAAGAACTGAAAAGACTATATATCGAAAAATATATATGTACATGGAGTGAAAGGATAACTCAACTTGCTCCACGATACCTTCGTAGAGACGCTGTAACCCTGGTTGGATTACTCGAGGAGTGGTGGTCGTGGTGGTGGATGGAGAGCGAGCGAACGAACGAGCGAAGAAGCGAGTGAAAGTTGTCAAGGGAGTTGATCCGTGAACTCTTTGTGCGAAGGCTAATTCAGGAAAGAGGTTGAACTAGTCAGTGAAATATGCTACAAATTAATGAAGCTCATTTATACGCGACCAGAAGACATCATCCACCATTCGCTATAACTCACGTTTCCGCTCTCACTTTTCGATTCGTCTTACTTTTAGCTGATTTGGCAGTATAATCAAGAAATGACCATCCGTTACATGCTGATTATCTTGCTCTTACATGATTATTATTAGGCAGAGTTTCGAAATTTTAACGTTAGAGAAGCCATGCGGATTAATTTTTAAATCGGGTGGAAAAATATTTTTTTCGTATGTTTTTAACTCAAGTCTGAAATTCAAGATACTCGTCAGAATTCCAAGGTTCCAAGGTTCTATACAATTTTGCCATCAGCTGAATACGTTGAGCCTCACAGTTTGCCATTTTAGGTGTGTATGTATGTACGGCAACCGGGAATGAAATGCAGCTGATGGAGAAAGCTCATTTATTCATCAGTCTCTCTCTCTCAGCTAATGTCCCTCTCTCGAAGGCTAATGTCCAGTCTACTTATATTCATTGTAGAATGTCACTAGGCCTTCGCTTTTTTACTTTCCAGTTCCAGAGGCTTCCAACTTGATTGTACGGAGGAGTGGATGGAACGAGCGTTGTTCATTTAGCGCACCAACTAACAGTGCTGCTGCAAAACTACTTATTAGCAAATGACGGTGTGGGATTATGGAATGTCCTGGTGACTTATTTTCTTTGCTGTGGTGGAAAGTTAAATAGATGCACTTTTGACGCTTTCCATCGATTTTGCCATCTTACATCCACGCTCGAGTATACGTATTTCAATTTGCTCTTTGTTTCAGCTCATTATGTACGTACTGATTTAGTTCTTTTCTTGAAATTGAAACCATTTTCTTGTCCCCACATCTCTCTGCAAAAGGTCATTCCGTCAGAATGGTAATTAATGTCAGTGAAATAATATGATGCGCTCTTCACCACTTTTATAACTTTTAACAACTTGCGTAATATTACCATTTTTCCATGGCTCGCGATGACAGAGCAAAATATTGAATTTGTCCCTAGAACGAAAGAAATTCTTCTTTATACTGAATATGAACATGCACATGTATCATCGTGCGCTCTGTCGTTTGTTGCGTGCTCCTAGGAGGAAACATGTGTGCATATGTAGGTATTATGCAGAAAGGGGACACATACACACGTATAGATATAGCCCAATCTAAATTGTGAGAAAGCATGCAAACCAGTAATATTCGCATCCTCTTCACCGCCTCAGCTAACCTCATCCAATCTAACTCCTTGTGAAGTGAATTACTCAAGTGTTCTGCTGGGGCATGGTGTGGTACGTGGTTGGTTTATTTGGTGGTCTTTCTCCATCCAGCAGCTTGAGTAGTTGGCTTCATGCAGAGCTGTTTGTTGCCAGCCTGCCCACTTTCTCCTTTAGCTATACTCAAGGAGGGGGTTCGAGTGAACTGAAAATTGCGGATAATGCGGAGCTGATGCGATGTACAAACAAATTGGACCATCCAATTTCCACCTTCTTCTGTGAAGATCTGCATGCATCAGATGGACCTCCTCCCATCTGACAATTTGGTGTGATACAGGGCGAATTCTCTGGAATGAAACCCACAAGCAAGTGTTCATCGCCCTCAGCGGACCAATTCACGTCCTATAACACATTAGTGCAGTGGAGCATCTAAAGGAGAGTAGCGTGAGGTGGAATTACCACCCCCAAAATCCAAGTATTACAGTCCGTAGAAAACGCAACCAACATTGCATGGACATTAGTACTTGCAGTAACACTGACACTAACACTTGGTCCAAGCATTACAATCAAACCGTGTACATTGGCATGTGAAAATTTAAACTTAAAAATTGGAAAGTCATCTAGAAACATTGATATATATTTTTGTATACGCGTGCCGTCTAACATATTTACGTGGAAATCAAAGATAACTAAAGTAAATACTTACCTCGTTCTTAAATAAATACATCGAGACATAACTTGTAACATTGTTACTTCTCCCTCACAAAGAAGGACACGCATGTAACTTTGGAGTACTGATACTTTTGTTGATGCTTCATAAGTAGGAGGCGAAGGACTTCTTCTCTAATGATAATATGTAGTAATTTAGCTACGGGGGATGAATTTTTACACTGTTTCACTCTCCTTATTACATATTGTGATCCTCTCTCTCTCTGGACTAAGATAATGACGAGGTCTTCCACACAGAACTTTATGTGTATAAATAATGATGCCCTGAAAGTAAACAATGTTCGGCTCACAAGGCCAGCAAATAACTGTCTGCATCAATTTGTTCTGCTTTTGTCATTTCCTAACAATCTCGGACCAAGCCGAGGAAGCAGACAGACTCACAAAGACAAACATAATATTAACTTTGGAAAATCCATCTGGATTTCCAAAGTCACCCTCCAGTCCACTTTTCATACTTATCTTTTCCCCATGGCAGACAGCAGCAGAAGAAGAACACAAGACTCATTCTGGTAGTGTACGCATGAGGATTAGTCATTAGTCACTACTGCGCTCCAGTTTTGCCTGTTCATGAACTAGAACTAATAAACTGCCATCGCCTCACTTCACAATGAGTGACCCCTCCGGCTTTCTGGTGACCACAACCTCAAACCCCAGCCATCACTGATCTTACTTGGCAAGTAATTGTAGGCTAGGACAATATTTCCAACAAATATTTCGCCCTCTCACTCACTCTCTTAAAGGTCATAGAAAATATAGAAACTAACCAAAACCAAGTCCTAATCTAGAGAGAATTGTGAAGAGAAATTCAATAAATTTGGTTTACTTGAAGCAATGTGGTTGAATTAACGAGATGATGACCAAATCAAATCAAGGAGAAAGTCCGACACTGCACGGGAGGGTGGATTTATTTGCTTCCAGAATGTTCATTATTTGTTGTGATGGCTTCATTTTGGCATACAAATTGGCAACATTACCGTCAATTGTAATTTACTACCACTACTATTTACTACAACTATACTTGCTACGCAGCAAAAGGTTCCAAAAAAGGAATGACGTAATTTTTACTCCACAAAATTAAAAACACGTAACAAGACCCAAGAGCTACGACAGCATGAAACAATAATCTCTGTTTCGATAATCGATCCACTGGTGGAATATTTAATTACAACAGAGCAGTATCGAGGTAGTTGGATCTGCATTATAAAGGAGACTTTGTAGTCACACTCTGGTGGGGGCGA